AGACTCACCCCAGCCCACTCGCTTCCCCTACAAGCTCACGCACCCCTGCACCAGCACCTCCCCAGCAGTGCCCCAGCCCCACGCTGACCTCCTGGCATGCAGCTCCGCACTAGGATGCCCTCGCCATGGGTCAGCGGAGTCAGTGCGTGGTGCACCAGGTCAGCAGGGAGCCCTGTAGCCTGCAGCAGGGCCTCCACAGCCACCTCCTGCAGGAGTGCATGGGAGGGGAATGGCCAGCCAAGGCCCGCCAGCCACAGGCCCAGCCAAACAAGGGAGAGCCTGTGCCCCAAACACCGCTGGAGACCCCACCGGAAGGGAGGACATGGCCCTGCCATGCTCCAGCATCTGCTGCCTCCCTCACGCCACCGCAGCCCCGGCTCCTACCTCAGTGTTGTTGAAGCATAGCAGGATGTACATCTGCAGTGTGGACACGTGGAGGATGCAGTCTCCAAACTGCAGTTCAGCATGGCCCAGCCATGTCCACTGCAACCGCCGGGGCTTTGTACACTCCCAGCCCAGCTGGCTCTGACCTGCCAGAGACAGCATCAGCTGCAGCGCAAGGGCCAGGGGCCAGCCCTGACAGGCACTCCCGGCACACCCCAGCACTCCTGCCACTTCTGGTTGAGCTGCTGTGGAAGGCCTGGGCCCCGGCAAGACCTCCATGCACACCCACCACCGCAACACTCACTCCGCCTGCAGAAGTCGGCAAACTCATCCAGAGGGGAGCTCAAGGCCGCTGAGAAAAACCTCCCAGGTTCATCCATATAGCAGAACGGGGAAACGGGCCAGCAGCGCGGGGACAGGGCCAGCACCTTCACCTCTGGCACATCCGCCACCGAGGCTGTCCCCAGTGCCTGGGCACGTGGACACGAGGGTGGCTCAGCACAGGCCCCGGGATCCTTGTGAGGAATGAGGGCAGCCCCCAGCCTCCCCACCTCACCAGCACACTCACCTCGTCCAGGCCCATGTCCAGCTCCAGCAGCCGCTTGTCCTGCTCCTGCAGCTGGAAGAGGTAAAACTGCTGCTGGAGCTCCTCCGACTCAGCCAAGTTGTTCAGCATCTCTTGGGGGAAGCGGCTGGGGAAGCACAGCCCGATCTGCTCCACAATGGCTCCTTCCAGCCAAGACGGCCCTTGTGCCAGGAGCCGGTTGCCCAGGTAGTGCCTGCCACAGGGGCCAGCATCAGGTCACAGAATCACAGAATAATTAATTAAGGTTGGAAAAGATCTTTAAGATCATCAAGTCCAGCCGTCAACCCAACACCTGTCCATGAAGTGCCACATCTACGCATTTTCTGAACACTCCCAGTGATGGTGACTCCACCAGCTCCCTGGGCAGCCTATTCCAACGTTTGGTGACTCTCTCCGTGAAGAAATTTTTCCTAATATCTAGTCTAAACCTCCCCTGGCGCAACTGGAGGCCATTTCCTCTCATCCTATCGCTAGTTACTTGGGAGAAGAGACCAACACCCACCTCACCACAACCCCCTTTCAGGTAGTTGCAGAGAGCAAGAAGGTCTCCCCTCAGCCTCCTCTTCTCCAGACTAAACAACCCCAGTTCCCTCAGCCGCTCCTCATAAGAATTCTTCTCCAGACCCCTCACCAGCTTCGTTGCCCTTCTCTGGACACGCTCCAGCCACTCAATGTCCTTCTTGTAGTGAGGGGTTCAAAAAACCTTTAGGGGCCGGCCCAAGCGCCATCGCCATCAGCCACCCACCAGAAGACAGAGACGGCCCTGGCCCCCAGGTGCATGGGCCCAACAGCACCCATCTCCCCTCCCTGTCACCAGCAGGGAACATGCATCCACAGACTGGCTGCGCCCACGGGCCTTCACAGCCTTTCCTTCCACACGCCAAGACGGGAAAAGCGATGCAGAAGCACCACTGCCACACCAGGCCATGCTCAGCCATGGCCTCAGCACCACCTGCACCTCCCCCGCCACACCGCACCAGATCCTCGGCTCCCATGGAGACACGGCACCCCTCACCGGTAGAAGTGCTCGAAGGTGTGGGCGAGCTCCAGGCCACTGACGACAACGAAGGGCTCCAGGATCTGCTGTAGCCGTTGCAGTGACCCCGCGCTGCCCGCAGCCCTGTGGAGCTCCTGGATCTGCCCATCAAGGTAGCAGGCAAACTGCTCACTCACCTGCAGAGGGACAGAACTGGCTGTGGAGGGGGCTCACCGGGTGGCCGCAGGGCCCGGCTGGGGGAATGTCCGTGCGGGAAGCAGCTGGGGCTGCCCCCTCTCAGGCAGGGGCCGAGGCCGCCCAGGCATTAGCTCGAGGCAGGAGCGTGCCGGGGCCAGGGCCATGCCATGACAAGCACCGCGCACCCACAGCTGGGCACCGTCCAGGGCCGCTGCAGGGCAGGGCACTGTGGGTCGGTGGAGGGCCAGGACACTGCCCACCCAGAGCTCAGCCCGAGGCCGTGGGCCAGGGCAGCCTCCCCGGCCTGCGCCCAGGGCCGGTAGGGCTGGGGCCCCGCTGCTAGCACCACACCCCCTCGACTCACGTGCAGGGTGGTAAGGAAGGAGAGCTGCAGCAAAGCTCCTGCGAAGCCCTGGCCCAGGGCCAGCACAAAGGCAGCCTGCTGCCCAAAGAGCTCCTCCGTGGCGCCGCGCAGGCGCTGGTACAGCCCGCAGTATCGCTCCACAAGGTCCGGTGCCTGCCCTGCCGCCTCCAGGAACTGCTGCACCTGCAAGACGCCGCACAAGAAGGGTGAGCCCCGCAGTGGGGCATGCCTGGGGCCTGCAGGAACATTCACAACCCCCCGCCTCACCG